CGCCTTCCCGTAGAAGTGCGCCCTGCTGATGTCGAAGAAGCCGATCTTGAAGTTGCCCGGCTTCCTGCCCTTCTTGCGAAGCGACTCCTGAATGTGGAGCGGTGGTTCCCGCGTCCACGTGACCCTCAGCGAGACCAGCGACCGCATGGCCTCCAGAGGAGGCATGGCCGAGAAGACCTCGGACGCCTCCAGCTGCTCGTCAGGGCGCTTCTTCGCCTTGATCTCCTTCACGACGAGCCTGCTCCTGTAGTTGGGCCTCTCCGCGTCACCCTTGTTCGTGTCAACCCACTTGAGTGGGATGGGCGGACGCCCAGTCTCGGCGAAAGCCTGAGACCTCGGGACGATCTCGATCAGCTCCTGCTTCTTGACCCACTCGCGCTCGACCGCGCGAGCCTGGGCCACAAGGCCCGCCTCCAGGTAGCCGCCATTGACGTCGTCCCAGTAACTCGCCCAGTCCCCGGGTGGCACTGCCGCGTCCACAGGGACCGGGCCCGACTGCTGCACCTGGGCGGTGCTGAGCTCCCCCACGTCATCCAGCGTGTCCTTGAGCTCCTCCAGCACTGCCTCCACCAACTTCGGTGGATAGACCTTCGCGAACCGCGCGATGCCGCCCACGAGCGTGATGTGGCGATGCCATTCCGCGCGGCCGTCCACATTGCTGCAAGTGCCCTGCAGCCTCCGGGCTAAGCCTGGATGGTTGGTGACCCATCCGGTCTCCTTGCGCACGAACTCCTCCTGGCCACTGCGGGGGTTCGTGAGCTTCATGCCCCACCGACACATGGGGCCTTTGACCGTGAAAACTCCTGGATGCGCGACCAGCTCCTTGACGATGTCCTCATTCCACGATCGCGCACTCCAGGGATGCTCATGCAGGAAGTACCTGCCTGGCTTCCTGAGCTGACGCCAGTAGGCGTCGACTGCCACCTTCAGGTGGTGTCTGGCCTCCTCCATCTCGACCGCCTCCTGCTCATCGGTCCTGAACTTGGCGCTCAGGCCCCTCAGCAAGCTGAACTTCTCGCATGGAGGGGACCCCGTGAGCAGGATGGGATCCATCCGCTCTTGCTGCCTCTCGAGCTCCTTGACATCTTCGGGGCGCCGCAAGTCCCACGGCGTCCCGTCCCCCTTGAGTTCCTCCAGGTCCGCCGCGAAGCCCGGGCGCAGCTGAAATTCCGCTGCCCGAGCCGAGAACCGATGTGGCGAGTACACCTCGGCCACGTCCACGGCGCCCAGCTGCAACGCCGATAGGGCGATGCTGTCCACCTCTTCGTCGGCGATGTCCGCGCCGGCGCTGGCCCAATGGCCACTGACCTGTTCGCGAACGAGCGGGAGCAACTCCGCCTTCGCTCTCGTCAGCACTCCGAGCTCAACCAGCTCGATCGACGCCACATCGAGGGCGAGCACCCGCATGTGCCTCCCCTCACTGGCGTTCCACACGACTGCCACTCCAGCTGGCAGCTGAGGTCCTTCCGCTGGCGCTGGCTGCGCCGCGAGATCCTCCATGTCCACCTGTACCGGCACGTCTGCCGGCTGTGGATCACCGCGCTCGAGGGCCTCCGGCACGTCATCCGGGGCCACCTCCGCCAAGCGCTTCAGCCGCGACCTGGACGCGGTCATGTCGACATCCGCGGCGGCCTCTGCCGCTCGCGCCGCTCCCGAACTGGAGCTCGCTCCTCCTGAAGGAGCCGCCACGCCGAAGCCCGGTGCTACCGGCTGGCTCTCTCGCATGCGCGCCGCTGTGGCTGCCACGGCTGGCGCTGCTGCCGATCGGGTCGCGGCCGGCGCGGCCGATGCCGCCGCCGCCGCTGCCACCGGCTCGGTGATCCTCCGAGCCGTCTTCGGCGGAGGGGTCCCTGCCGCGGCCGCTGCCGCTGGTCGGACTCTGGCCTCTTGGCCCTGCCTCCGCTCTCGATACTGGCCGGTCCTCTCCCGGCCTGCCTCCTCCGCGTCCAGCGCTTCGAAGATCCTCTTGCTGCACGCCGCGTTGTGCGCGTGGCCAGCCAGCACCCGGCCGTGCTTGGCGATCGAGACGCACCCTGGGCATCCCGGCGTTGCGCCCAGCCGCTCGATGTCCGCCTTGAGGACGTACATCCTCCTCGGCGCCTGCGGCTGCGGCGGCGCCACCACAATTGGTGGCGGACCGACCTCTCCAGGTCCGACGATGGCCCGCGGCGCGCTTGCCGCACGCGGAGCCACGTCCCACGGCAGGCCCTTCAGGCCATCCCAGCCCGCCGTGATCCACTTCTCGCTCTGCGGCAGGCTGCGAAAGCCGACCGCCTTCTTCACGCCGTCGCTCGTGATGACCATCATCGAGCCGTCGCGCGGGTGGTGGCCGATGTAGCGGGCCTCCACCATCTGCTCCTCCAGCGCGTTCTTCCTCGCGCGCTCCCCGGCGAACCGCGCCATCAAGCGCTCGCCGAAGAGCGGGACTGGCTTCCTCCACTGCCGTCCCGCGAGCCGCTGAAGAGCGGTCTTGCCGTCCTGGCCGCGCCGGTATCGGTTGATTACCGATGCGGCGTGCTCCGGCAGGTGCGCTAGCACCGGGTGCTTGTCCTCCACCTTGACGCCCAGCTTGGACTCCAGGTCCATCTTGAGCGCCCGCACCTGCTTCTTGATCTCGCGCACCGTGACCTCGATCTCCCCATTGGCCTGATGATCGGCCGGTGCCGATTCCTGAGGAATGGCCTCGAGGCCAGGAACCTCCTCCACCGCACGCCTCTTGACCAGCAGGATCGCGGGCTCGCCGTCGGACTTGTTGACGATCTTCCTGTAGCCCAGGATCCGTAAGAAGCGTGCGAAGAACTTGATGGCGTAGGCGTCGTCGCCCTTCTTCTCCACGAATGTCGCTGCCATCATCTTCGAGCGCCGATCCCTAAGGACCAGCATCGGCATGGTGTCCGCGTCATCCTGGCCCATGAAGGCGTAGTCGGATGAGATCACCGGCACCGCTGTCTCGTCGTCCTCCGGTGCGCGGAGATGCGGCTGGCCTTGGCCCTTTGCCGCGATACACACGCGACACCAGCTGCGATAAGTCGCGTGTCCCATCGCCTCGTGTTCAGCGATCTCCCTCTGAGAGGGCTCATGAGGTGCCTTCAGTACTCTCGGGCGAGCCTCCTCCTCGCCCTCGTCGGCCTGCTGTCCATCAGGAGCAGCTGGCAAAGCGTCGGCCGCAGCAGCTGCCGCTGGCTGAAAACCTGGCGGTCTCACGTCGGAAGGTCCCGACCCCGCCGCTGCCGCCCCCGCAGCTGATGCCGCAGGGGGCCGTGGTATTGAGTCTTCCAGTGGACTTACGCCGAGGGCTGCCTCCTGGGGACTGTCTTCTCGAGGATCTCCAGCAGCTCCTCCTTCGACTTGCCGCTGAGGAGCTCCACCAGCTCGGACTTCGACTTTGCCGAAAGTCCCTCCTCGAGAGGAGCAACCGAGCCATGTTGGCCCTTCTTGAGGTAGAAGTTGTAGACACCCTGCTCGCGATAGACCGGCAGCATCTGGTGCTTCGCCGCCTTCGCCTCCTTCTCGAGCATGCCTACCACGCGCTTGCCGATTGGGCTCTTCTCGTGGAATATCCAGCCGCCATTGCGGCCCAGGAATGAACGCTGTCCAGCTCCTGCTGCCTGCCCCACCGAGATCAGCGGCTTGTGCACGTTCGTCACGCGTCCCTTGAGCGCTCGTAGCACTCCGTACTCGTCCTCCGCCTTGAGCTGCAAGCTGCCCTCGTCCGGGACGAGCTCACCGCTGGCCGTGCGATACGTGCTGCCGTTGCCCTTCATTCCCGTCGGCGGCGCGAAGCTCCGAGGGACTGCTGAGATAGCTGCACCGCTGTCCCAGTTGAACTTCATCCAGTCGTCCTGCGCGAAGGGGGAGAGGTCGACCGCTGCTACGCCGCGGCCGCTGCCGCTGGCGAGCTCCAGGCAGTCCAAGCTGCCCATGTCCAGAGCGGCGACCTCCGCTTCAGGCTCCTCCTCCAGGCTGCCTGCCGCCTTGCCGCCGGCCTTGCCGCCGCGGCTACCGGCTTTACCACCAGCGCTTGCCCCCGTTGCGGATCCAGTTCCAGCCCTCGTACTCGATCCCTGCTCTTTCTTCCAGCAGTCGGATGCCTTGTGGCCCCATCTCTCGCAGTTCCGACAGTAGCCGTCGAAGCGCCCGCTGGTGCTTCGAGGTGCCGTGCGCCCTGAACCACGGCCCGAACCCGTCGGGGACGTGCGGGAGCCTGAGTATGATCCGTTCGTCGATTTGCTCTTCCCCTTCGGCTCCTGAGTCTTGCCTTTCCCTTTGCTCTTGCCGTCCTTGCCCTTGCCTTTGCCTTTGCCCTTCGGGGCTCCGAATGACCCGACGTCCATGTCGTCCGGATGATGTGCCCGCGCACGGATCGATGGCTCCTTGATCTTCACGCCGGTCCGAGCCTCCACGATTGTCATCACCTCGTTCAGACTGTCCTGGAACGTGATGAGCCGATGCTTGTTGAGGACGAGGTGGTTCTCGATGTCCTGAGGCACGAGCATCTCGAGGGCCGCCATCTTGATATCCTCTGGCAGCTCGGCTAGACCATCTTCTCCTTGGCGGCGTTCGTACCTGCCTATCTGCTGGATCCACTTCTCTAAGGCTGATCCCAGTTCGTCCGCGCTGCACTTCGGAGGCGAGATGATCGACCTCAGGATCAGCCGCTTCCTCGGACCTGTCGTCGGATCCCACCTGCGGTGAAGCTTCCGCCAGGCCTCTAGACCGTTCCCATCGGGGGCGCCCGTCACGAGGTCGTTGCTCTCGCTGCCGTCCGCCGTCGTGCTGATCAGCGCCGCGTACAGCTGGTTGACCTTGGTCTCCAGCTCGGGTACTCCGCCGTGCGCCGCCTGTGCCCCCTCGATCGTCACGGGGCGTTCGGCTTCTGCAGCCCACCGAAGAACGGGACGAAAGCTCTCTCCGTACACGCCTATCACGTAGTTCTCCATCTTGCGATTCCAAGCCCCGAACTTCTCTTGATCGTCGCCCATCGTTGTGGGCTTGCCAATCCCCTTGGTGTCTACGAGACCGGGAGCGGCTCCTCCTGCGCTCGACGCGCCTCTGATCTGCTCGCCCATCCGTTCTATCGCCTGCGGAATTGCCGCGAGGCCTCCTGCTACTTGTTGCTGAAGCCGCTGATTCTCGTTCTCCAGCCTCCGCATCTCGTCGGCGGTCTGACTCATTCGAGCCGCGAACTCCTGCCTCAGCAGTTCGAACTGCTGCCGAACCTGCTCGTCCATGCTTAGCAGCGTGTCTCTCGGCGAGCTCCTCCCTGCTCTCGGCTATCTCCTGCCTCGTACGCTCGAGGTCCGTGATCCGACCTAGGACTTCCTTCTGCGTTCTCTCAACAACGTCCGAGGAGTTCTCCGAAGGATGGTCCTCGATGTACGCGAGGTCACGAAGCCTGTTGCCTGCCTCTTTCAAGTCGTGCTTGAACTGGAGGGCCTTGCGCCTGGTCTCAATCGCTGCGTCGCTCCTCTTGCCGCGCCTGCGGCCAGTCTTCCCGGCCCCTGCCGGTTGCTCGGTCGCTGCCGAGCTCGCTGCGGTCGATGCCGCCCTCTTCCAGCCTCGGGCCTCCTGCCAGCTCGCCGTGGCGCCCGCGGCCGAGGCTCTGGTGGGGTCGGCAGCAGTGAGTGGCCAGCTCACGCTACCATGATGAGATAGTATGCCGATGGACAACAATATCTCTTTTCCATCTTGAGCCAAAATGGGCGCACGGAGGAGGGTGTCAGAATCACCCCTGGCGGCGGGGCCGAGCACCAGCTGCAAATGCGGCAGGCGCCCTCCCCCTAGCTGAAGGGGCCCTGAGACACACAAAGAAAAACAGGCAAATAAAAAAGACATTCCCATATTTTCCCAATATTTCCTGGGTTTTCGTCTTCCCCCCCACTGCCCATATTTTCCTATAGTTTCCTGGGAGTGGACGATTAATTGTGTCCGTGTGTTTTCCCCCTCCTGACTATCCCAGTCCAATCCCCACCACCACCCCCTGTCGCCCGGCGCGACATCGGCAAGGGCCCGGACCTCGAGAGGGCCACAAGGTTCTTCCCCTGTTTCGGCTGGCCCTTGCTCGTGGAAGGGGGCCGAGGGATCCCGAGGCCGACGCTGCGGAAGCAGCGTGACGCCGGGCGCCTTGGGGTCCCGGCCAGGTCCAGCCTCCCCCCCCTTTGATGGGCCTGTTTTCCACCACCACCATAAGTTGGAGGGGGAGGGGGTCTTCGTCCTCCTCCTCCTCCTCCTCCTCGTCCTCCTCGTCCTCCACCTCCTTCCCCCCTCCGACTTATGGTGGCGGTGGAGAACAGGCCCATCACCCTTCCTTTCCCCCCTCCCGCCCCTCATCTTCCCCGTCGCCTTGGATGGTGGTCCTGGCTGCTCGGCCGGGCCCTCTCGCTCGCCTCGCTCCGGGCCCCTTTTGGTCCGCCCCTCGCTCCGGCTCGGCCCCTCATGGGGCCCTCGCTCGCTCGGGCTCCCACGGAGCGGGCGCACGGGCTCTAACCCACGTGCAAACAACACATCCCCCCTCCTCCTCCTCCTCCTCCTCCTCCTCCGTCCTCATCATCCTCCTCCTCCTCCTCTCCTCCTCCTCCTCCTGCCTCATCCTCCCCTCTCCTCCTCTCCCTCCTCCTCCTCCTCGCTCCTCCTCCTCCTTCCTCCTCCTCCTCGCCTCTCATCCATCCGTCTCCTCCTCCTCCTCGATCCTCCTCATCCTCCTCTCCATCCTCCTCTCTCCTCTCCTCCTCCTCCTCTCCCCCATCCCCCTCCCCTCCTCCTCCCCTCTCACCTCCTCCTCCTCCTCCTCCTCCTCCTCCTCCTCCTCCTCCTCCTCCTCCCCCTCCTCCTCATCCTCCTCCTCCTCCCCCTCATCCTCCCCCACCCCCGCACCTCGCCCGTCGGCTCCTCGACGTCCGCGTCGCCCTCCGCCTCGGACGTCCAGTCTGAGGAGACCGAGCTCTCCTCCGCGGAAGGGCGCCGTCGCGCCACCGCAACGCGTGGCCCGGGCCACCCTGGACCCCATCGGGCGCGACCCGACCGACTCCTAGCAAACCATCCCCGTCCATGACGTCATCCTCGCCTTGTAAGCTTCCCTCCGGTCGCATACATACGTCGTGGGTCAGGTCGGGCATGTCCCCCTGCAGGCGGACTTTGAACGAAGGACTTTAAAATAGTTCGAGAAAGATTCAAACCAATATCCAAACAAAACGTCTCCAGACTACTTGTTACTACTTTTGACTGTTCCTCCTGTAGAGGCACACGCCCGACTCAAGTCTTGGGGCGAGGCGAGGGGGACGTCACGGAAAGGATGGCTTGCCAGGGGCCGGTGAGGCCGCCCCCGACCCCAGGATCGGTTATGGACCATCCTGGCCTTGCACGGTTTCCCCCAGGGCCGTAGGCGACCCGAGGAGGAGAAGGAGGAGGAGGAGGAGGAGGAGGTAGAGGAGGGGGAGGGAGGAGGAGGAGGAGGTAGAGGAGGGGGAGGGAGGAGGGAGGAGGAGGAGGAGGAGGAGGAGGAGGAGGAGGAGGAGGAGTAGGAGGACGGGTCGTCTAAGCCCTTCGGAGAAACCCTCCACCTGGCTTCGGCCAAGAAGGGCGCACGCGTCAGGTTCGCGCCGTGACTACTGCGGCGCTGGTTTCTGACACCGCGCGGATCGTTCAGTCTTCAGACATCACGGCCTTCCGACTGCACAGGTCTAGGCTTAGGTCGGGCCTGTCCCCCTACAGGGGGATTTGGAAGAAAAACAAAAATAGTCAAAACATATTCAACTAATATTCAAAAATACTCGAAAAATCGTCCCCGCATTATCTTTTGACTATTTTTGAATACTCCGCCTGTAGAAGGACACGCCCGACTGCAGTCTGTGCCACGAAAATCCGCCAGCCACCTTGCGGGGCCATGAGGCGGCGCGGCTTAGACTTGCTGCTCGCTGCTCCAGCTCCAGCTTTCAGTGTCCATTGTGTAATAGTTATACGTTTAAGTCGGGCCTGTCCCCCTACAGGGTGATTTTCGACGAAAAACAGAAAATACTAAAAACATGCTCAAAAGATGCCCAAAAATAATCGAATAATAGTCCCCGGACTATTTTTGACTATTTTTGAATAGTCCCCCTGTAGAGGGACAGGCCCGACTTAATTCTACGTTATGCTTCCCACTGTCAGCTGTTGTTAAAAGCCGCGCGAGGGGGAGAGTCCCAAGAGGACCCGGTTACCACGCCCTGATCGCGCACTCTGGATTCGTGGGGGGGGCGTGGGGCACGTAAGAAAACTTGATATTCGCGTCCCCGAAGCCACAAACCCTCGTGAATGACAAGATACTCGCGTCCCCGAAGCCATAAAAAACCTTCGCAAATTACGCTGCATTCGCATTGCCGAGGCCAAGATTGCTCCAAGGAGCCCGAAGATGATTCCAAGACGGCCCCAGAGGGCCCAAAGAGGCCCCCAGAGTGCTCCAAGAGGCCTCCAGAGAGAGCCCCAAGAGGCCAAAACCGTACACTTTACGAAGGTGTTTGAGGGAATGTGGTCTTCTCGCATTTTTTTTGCTTTCCGACGCTCCAAGACGGTTCAAGAAGCTCCCAAGACCGCCCCAAGACAGCCCAAGACGCCTCCAAGAGGGCTCCTAGATTACCCAAGAGGGCTCCTAGATTGCCCAAGAAGCACGCAAGCCTGCCCAAGAGGGCCCCGAGCCGGCCCAAAGAGGGACCCAACCAGGGGACCACGAACCGAACATTCGATTTTTGTAACACGAGAAGCCCCCAGGAGGCCCCAAAAGGCCCCAAGAGGCGCCCAAGACGCGCCCAAGAGGCCTCCAAGAGGCCCAAATAATACCACACGAGGCTCCAAGAGGCGCCCAAACCGCCTCCAAGCCCCGAATGGCTCCCCACGACACCACAACACAGATGCAAGAGGCCTCAGACCCACAACCCAGGCACGGTGGCGGGATGGGCCGAACGCCAACGTCTCAGTATGCGCTGATGATTCCTATCCGCCCCCGCATGATGCTCCCACATGTGCCAAGGCAGCGCCGAGACGCACCGACGTGACTCTGATATATCCGATTATGATAGAGAGGGGGCCGGCGGCAGGGGGCGAAGCCCTGGCGGACATGGATATATATATATATATATATATATATATATACATACATACATACATACATACATACATACATACATACATAAATACATACATACATACATACATACATACATACATACATACATACATACATACATACATACATACATACATACATACATACATACATACATACACACACACACTCATACATACATATGTGTATATATATATATATACACCTAAGCACTCCGACGAATTTTGCATGTACCTTCAGGGAGGGCGGCGGTGTAGAAAGTCGCCAGCTAGCAGCGGTGATTAATACACTGCCACCCTCCCCTGAGTCCCAGGGACAATCCACTGGAGGGTGCTTGTGTACATATAGTGGGGGCCTGTTCTAGTTCAGGAACAACTGAACGATAGCTAGAACCTGGGAAAGCGTGAATATGGAGAGGGGAGGTTGAAATGGGGAAGTCGCACATCGGGACGAAGTCGCACGGGACGAAGTCGCACGAAGTCATATAGTTGTGGCCGAAGGACGTTCGGCATAGGCCGATTACGGGGCACCGGCGGCGTTCTCAATCTTGAACGCCCGCGCGCTGGAGCCGCCGCCGCGCCGGCGCGGCACGAGTGCCGCACACCAGGGCCAGGGCCCAGGGTGGCCCTGGCCAGGCAAGGGGAGTGGCGCACGGGCGCCCTCTGCTCGGCACGGAAAGCAAGGGGCCCTGAGGGAAACCGGTACAGTCGGACCCGGGCCAGAAGATCATGCCTCGACAGCATGAGACCCTCCGCCGGCCAGAACACACAGAGTATGCAAGGGTACCCTGCCCAGGATGCACAAGAGCATCAAACAAGAACGAAGAACATTAGGGCACCCTCCCCGAATCGAACTCGATCTTGTACCTCGGTCCAACTATACTAGACACCTGGCCGTTTGCCAGCACGAGCATTCCATCCTGAGTCGCTGTTTGACGGTCCTGCGGCTCACCCGAAGTCGGAGAAGAGAAAGAAACGAATCTCCCACGTTTATTGGGGCACAGCGTGGACTCTCCCGGGCTGGTTCTTCATCCCGAGCCATCTATGCACGGTGCTGGAGCCCAGCAAAACCTGCTGGAGACCCGTCGTCTTACTTTCGGGCGGTGGCAGAACTGGGTTTAGTGGGACCTGGTTT